AGCGTTCGGCACGAAAGAGGTTTTCACCTCCTTGGTATAATGCAACCTTGGTTATATTGCCATTTTCCTTCAAGACGAAGGTTGGCATTATGACAAGGGATGGCTGTACATGCATCAATGTTGATTGTCTTGTGTTTTATCTGTGGTTCTTTGTCACTTGAAACCAGGGTTATATTGTTAAGATGACTTGGTTCAAGAGAAACCTTTGTAGGTTTATACAAGGCCATCTTTATACAGTCACACACAGGACATTGTTAACGAGCGAGTAAAGTTGTTGTTATAGCCCGTTTGAGTGACAGAGGCCGTAATAGGGCGTTGGTAAAGCGTTCACAATTAGATTAGGATGCACATTTCATACAAGCCATAAACGTTTGATTAATGGTAATGACTTTGCGTAAGGTTACTCTGTTTGGTGCTATGAGTGCAGGGTACACGGGTGGCCCAGTCGTTTAAGGCGCCGCAATTCGCTGTGCAGAGTTGCGTCCCATCATTGTGGGTGGGAATCCCGGTTCGCCACGATTATGTTTCTAGTTGAGGCAGCACCATACCCATGCTTTTGGGTTTTCACCGAAGTGGTAAACGTCTGAGACCCGCATCACTTCGGGCTTTCCTCCCACATTAAGCTGCCACGTCATGATGTAACTGAAATGCTGCTCAAAGAGGCGTTAAATCAATCTCAACCTAACACACACGCGCACATGAACACATACACACACCGCTGACCCCATCAGCCTCGGAAACAATTCATTTCACGTCAGCGCATACACGTGTCAAAAACTAAGTTATTAGAACCGTCGCTTTAACGACATATATTATGCATGTAGGTAGAGGTATTGTTCAGCTTCATTGTGTTCGTGTCACGGTAGATGTGGTTTCTAGATTGCTATCTTGGTGTGGCCTTGTTCCACATTTCACAGCAAAGGACGTGTTTCAGTGCATACTTGGACATGTACTTGACGTGACGTTATTGAGAATGAAAGATGAAACGATTGAACTTGAGAACCAGGTTTATTCCCACGAGGATTCTGTAAGAGTTCACGCATGAAATCGAATAGGGTGTAGATGGTCTGTCACCTTTAACGTCAGCTATCCAGCTGGTATTTCAATGTCATATACGGTGGTTGATGTGATGGGAAAGCCCGAAGTGATGCAGGAACCGGTCTTAGCTATAGGCGTTTACCACTTTGGTGAAACGGGACAAGCCGAGAAACACAATCTGGGATTCAAACCCTGGATCACATTTTTATGGTATTCATGCCCCCTCCTCCCTCTCTCTCCCCTCTCTCTACCCTCCTCCCTTCTCTCACTCTCTCTCCCTCCCCCTCCTCCCTCTCTCCCCTCCCCTCCCTCTCCCTCCCTCTCTCTCCCCCTCTCTACCTCCACCCTCTCTCTCGTACTCCCTCTATCACCCCCTCTCTCTCTCCCTCCTCTCCCTCCCCTCCCCTCTCTCCCCCTCCTCCCTCTCTCTCCCTCACTCACCCTCCCCTCCTCTCTCACTCTCTCTCTCCTCCCCTCCTCCCTCTCTCTCTCTCCGCCTCCCTCTCTCTCACTCACTCACCCTCCCCCCTCTCTCGCTCTCCCCCCTCTCTCACTCTCCCTCCTCCTCTCTCTCCCTCCTCTCACTCTCCCCCATCCTCCTACTTCTCTCTCTCATCCCCTCCTCCCTCTCTCCCCTCCCTCTCCCCCTACCTCCTCCCTCTTTCACTCCCCTTTTTCCTCTTCTCTCCCTCCTCTCTCACTCTCGCTCTCTCTCCTCTCTCTACCCTTCTCCCTGTCTCTTCCCCCTCCTCCCTCTCTCTCCCATCTCTCCACCCTCTCTCTCCCACTCCCCTTCTCTCTCTATCCCTCCTCCCTTCCCTCCCTCTCTCTCTCCCCCTCTCTACCTGCTCCCTCTCTCTCTCCCCCCTCTCCCCCTCTCTCTCACTCCCCTCCTCCCCCTCTCTCTCCCCGCCTCCCTCTCTCTTACTCACTCTCCCTCCCCTCTCTCTCGCTCTCCCTCACCCCCTCTTTCAATCTCCCTCCCCTCCTCTCACTCTCCATCCCCTCCTCCTTCTCTCTCTCCACCCCCTCCTCCCTCTCTCTCCCCTCTCCACCTCCCCCTCTCTCTCTCCCACCCCCTCTCCCTCTCCCTCCTCCCCCTCCTCCCCCTCTCTCTTCCCCGCCTCCCCCATCTCTCTCCCTCCCCCTCTCTTTCACTCTCACTCACTCCCCCCTCTCTCTCGCTCTTCCTCCTCCCCCTCTCTCACTCTACCTCCCTCTCTCTCACTCTCCCTCCCTCTCTCTCACTCTCCTCTCTCTCCCTCCATCCGCTCTTTCACTCTCTCTCCTCTCTCTCTCTCCCTTCTCCCTCCTCCCTCTCTTTCACTCTCTCTCCCCCTCTCTTTCTCTCCCTCCTCCCTCTCTTTCACACTCTCTCCCTCCCCTCTCTTCTTTCTCTCCCTCACTCTCTAACTCTCTCTCACATGTATCCAACGCTGTCGGGGTACGATGAGATGCAACCAAGCAAGTCACCGAACCCGACCACTCCATCCTCACTTCCTTCCTCGGCCTCGTCTTACCCGGACGACATGGCTCTGTTGTTGGGACCATTTCTAACCTGGAATCTCCAATGTGGTGTAGCCAGTCGTACAAATTCTTGTAAATGTTTTAGAACTAATACAAAAACAACTTTATATCTTGCCGTGATTGACACCTATTTTCAATTTCACTTCGTATTTTATTGTTTAATGAATTAAATTAAATATAGATATAGCTTGGGCAATATTAATATTTGTTCTTAAGAGCTACGCATACACAATGTAGTTACACGTTTTCGTTTCGTTCCCAGAATACCACATATTGTAATAGTTCTATAACTTGAAGTCATAGACACCATGAAGACTCGAGTTACATGTATGCGGATTTCGAGATAAGCGGAGTGTAAGTATAAGACCACAACGCCAATACGGATTTTGTCACAACCATTCATTTACATCGACTTAAATGACATAACGAGTTACTGCCGTTCGAGTAAACGAATATTCACTGCACATGCACAAACAGGTTGGAGCACTACTTTCATTGCATGTATTGTGGTATAAAATTGGGGATGTTCACTCAGGGTTTATTGCCTTATTTAACCTAGTGATAACTGGTGACGCTTACAAGCCGTGTCAGGCCACTTGATTTTATTTGAAACGTTTAACCCTTTAACGTTTAACACAAACGAGTATACTTTTTTTCTTGTTCCTCCAGTTTATTGGAAACATTGACATGAAACATTATTTTCATTTTTCAGCCAAATACATACAGAAATATGAATTTAAGATCCGAGTGTCCTTCAGTTTTGCATGCTTAAATGCTCCGCATTAATGCGTAGACTCGACCCGTGAATGATCCGGGGTAGAAAAAGCCTTCAGTAACCCATGCTTGCCGTTTAAGGCGACTGTGCAGGCGAGCTGACTTGGTCAATGCATGTAATCGTATCCCAATTGCGTTGATCAATGCACACGATGTCCATCGTGGCGGTCGGGTAGCCTAGTGGTTAAAGCGTTCGCTCGTCACGCCGAAGACCTGGGTTTGATTCCCGACATGGGCACAATGTGTGAAGCCCATTTCTGGTGTCCCCCGCCGTGATATTGCTGGAATATTTCTAAAAGCGACGTAAAACCAAAACTCATTCACTCACCATCATGTCCATCACTGGATTGTCTGGTCCAGACTCGATTATTTACAGACCGTCGTCATATAGATGGAATATTTCTGACTCTGGCTTTAAACAACAAACAAACAAACAAACAAACAAACAAACAAACAAGCAAAGACCCATGAATATGCATCATGATTTCCCCTTGAAAACATACACGTCCCTTTACACCGAACCTCAAGCTGCACCCAGAATTCACGAAAGAGATGATGTTTGTAAACGGTACGCTGATATTCTGCTCTTATCATTCTTTACTGTGACGGCACGTGATCCCGTGCCTCGTGTTCTGATTGCAAATCTAGTTATGCCACGCTGGCGGCAGGGCAAGAATGTCTTCTGAGAGATACAGGAGCTTCAAATTGGTCTTCAGCAACCCATGCTTGTCGTAAGAAGCGACAGCGGTATCGGGTGGTCAGACTTAGTTGAAGCATGTTATCGTATCCCAAATGTGTAGATCGATGCTCATGATGTCAATCACTGGATTAGCTGCCCAGACGCAATTATTTGCAAACCGCAGCCGTATGGCCGGAATGTTGCTGAAAGCGGAGTTAAAAACAAAATGAAATAAACAAGATCCGCTTCGGCCTTGCTCCGTATTGAGCACACGTACATGCTATACCACAAGTGTCCTCTTGGTCGAACTTTGCTTAAGCACAGTAAATGGGTACCCGGTAGATTGAGAATGGAATTTTGTATGTGAACATTCTGACGCATAACTGGCAGGTTCCCGGGGAACTGATAATCGAAAATGTATACACACTGGCCTGTTGACCGGGGTAGCAATTGTATAGCACCATGGGTATGCCTATTAACAACAACAACGATAATAATAATAATAATAATTATAATAACAACAACTATTACTATAGTGACTATTACACGACCATTTTGATAAGGAAATCCCACGCCAGCGTGGCTCCGTGAATGCTGTTTGGAAACATGAGGAAAAAGCAATGTTTTATAGCCTTGAGTCAAGATAGCGTGCAATAATCTTGACATCTTGTAATTAAACCGCAGCAACAGGTTTTTCCTTGTACACACCTACAATCCAACTCACTTAACAAATCTGATTTTGAATAGGTTATGTGTGTGTATGATCAATATCTAATTTAAACAGCACGCTAAGGTCATCTTATGATCATATGTAATAGCACGTATACTTTGACGATGTACTACGGGTTTCCATGTATTTACAAGTCATCTCAACATGACAAAATAGTTGACAACGCACTGAACACGTGTATCCAAAACCAGAGACGAAGCATGACCTGTAGACGAGAGGTGCAGTAGTTTAGTTACTGTTAGCAAAGTGCATAGTGATCTGAACATTGTTAGCGGAGATCGAGAGAGTTGCTCCCCTTTAGGAATCCGCGATACCCCTGGTCCGCAGCTTGGCTTAATGTTTGAACGGGACACATTGTACTGACTATGAACCGTACGCGTCTGCGATAGCTTTTCATTTCCCTAATTCACAAGGACTGGTTTGCGGTCTCGCTGTAACCACAGCGAACGTATTTTATCGTATATGACTTTGTTTCATAGATGTGTATTTATCGTGTTTGCAACAGATTGTATTTGAGCTGGTTTTACTAAGTGTTCGTACTCTCCAAGAAACATCAGCAGTAGCCGCCATCAGGTAAGTTAGTTCCTTGTGCGGTTTCATATATAATCTCTCCCGTTGATAAAGTTTGCATGTGCTATGGAAGTGGTTGTTTCTGTACCAAGAGAAAAATATACTTCACATAAATTAGAATTTCAGTTAGGTATGTTATAGTAACCATGCATCAGTCCTAAAGCATGGACTTTGGGTTCCATTGTCATTTAAAAATCATTTTCTTTAACGTTTTGTCTACGTAACCCTTCATTAGCTGTTGCAAATTACAGTGATACCTCGTTAATCTGGACTCCTACCAGTGAACACGTCCGGATTACCGCATCGACAAGCCATTACAAAAGTAAGAGCTGGAAATAACAACGAAAACACTCAATTCCACTATCAAAAGAAATGTCCACTGAACGATTTCGACTGTATCATTTTTCATGTGTTTAAGAAAAAGTATCAATTAGGGATAATACCAAATGTTCCCGAAAACGTGAGCGTATCATGTCTCGTCTCACCCGTCACAAACACATGTAAAGGCAAGGAAAATATTCACCTAAAAAACAAACCACGGATTAAAATAAGAAATCGGACATCGTTTTCTCGTCAATGTTGCCTCCAATTTGGTCAGGTGGGGTTACCTTGATTTGTCATATACTACTCAAAAGAAGTTAAGGAACACCTTTTCTGTCATATTAATACAGTAAATCTGTCATACTATTCTTTAACTTTCCTTGTGTAGTATACATTTTAGGCCGTGTTGTTGGCTGTGTGCCTGTCTATCGATTATACAACATATCTGGCCTCCTTCAAATCTCGCTGCGATCTTATGTACGTCCGTTTGGCTCTGAGGCGGGTGGCCCAGTCGTCTAGGGCGCCTGAATTCCCTGTAAAGATGCGTCCTTGGGTACGCAAGAAACCTCTGGTCGTGGGTTGGAATACCGGTACCCCACGATTATGCTTCTCGGTTTGACAGCACCATACTGTGATCGTGGCTTTCGCCAAAGTTGTTTATAGCCGCTTCGGGCTTTCCTCCCACAGTAGGCTGACACGCCGTGATATGCCGGGTGTACTGTTCAAAGCGTCGTTAAACCAACTCGCTCACTCATTTACTCGAAGGTATTGGTAGGTCCAAAATGCAATGGTTTCCGTTCATCAGAGTGCTTGTACTTATCTGCCAAATATAGGAAAACCACTCAGTGTTGGGTAACACAATCGCTACTTCCGTTTTCATTGTGTGAAAACAGTTTCGAAAACCCCAGATAAATCCATTGTTTAGTTTCGTGCAAGTAACTATGACAGCCCAATTAAAATAAATTATATAAAGTACCACTTTCATTGTCCTGTGTGTGTAATATATATATATATATATATATATATATATATATATATATATATATATATATATATATTTCACGTCATAAAATAGTAGATTATTCATTGTTTTATAATGAAGTTATTTCTGTCTCATCATGTAATCGACCAGTGGGGAATCCATTTGAGGCAATATGTACTCCAACAAACGATACTTATTGTATAAGGGACCAACAGGATAGGGTGATCAGGCTGCGTGGGTGATGCGCATGCTGTCAATCACTCGGGTATATTATCCAGACTTGAGTATTGACAGACCGCTGCGATATAGCTGAAGTATTGCTGACTGCGGCGTCAAACAACCAACAAAAAATATAATTGCACCATTATTTATGTAAATCTTGATTTTTTGATAAATACATAGTGAATTACTAATACACATACATTAAATGAATTGAGCCTAACATTTGATAAATATGGAAAAACTTTGATAGATGATAGCTTAACAGCGTAAACAAAATATTGCTGTCCTAAATGGACGTCTACTGACAACGCCAGTCCTCATTGGGAAAAGGGAAAAAGAGGTGTCCGCTTAGAGTTGATTTACTTCCGTCATTTCAGACAAATCACCAGCCCGTACACCACAGCGGCCGTCGACCGTGATGACAGATGGTGAACTGGGGACAAAGGGGAGCAACCGCTAGCTGAAGACAAAATGCAAATGTGGAGGTTCTGACGGTATCGCTTGTTGTTGCTCTAAACTGAACATCGGTTTCAGTGTGTGAACTCTGACGAAGACAGGTCGTATTTCAAGTGTTTGCTCAATGGTCATGTTATTGAATTATTTGTAATTGTGCACCTCGTACATTGTGTTATCTCTCGTCAACATGTGGTCTTAATTTGTTCACAAAATTATCGGCGTTCAACTATAATGGAATCCCAGACGTTGTCGTCAAGTTTGGATGAAACTGGTCATCGGTATTGGGTCAGTTTCTCGAACTCTTCCTTCGCGAAAGGGTCTACTTCCCACGCCCATAAAGGATTTCTTAACGGAATGGGACCGAGGTCTGGTGAAAAAGCCATAGTTAAAGCATTTAGGAATGAACCAGGGACGCAAAGCAGATGTGATACAGAAATAGCCAAGTCTGAAAAGGCTGAAGAACTTGCAAAGCTTTTCAACAGGAAATTCTCCGAAAACAACCTAAACATCGCCTTTGCAGAACCTTTGAAAGCGCTTATGGATCGGATAGCTTTGATTGACGTGTTTTCCTTCAGCCGCAGAAGGCTCAATGGTAGAGAGTGGGTGCTTATTGAACAGAACATGGGGAAGAGGTTCCAAGTGTTTGTGAAGCGCCACGGTGAAGTAAGCAGGACCATACATCCGTTGCTACCCGCGTTTATGCATTTCAGTTACCATCACACTGGTGGGGATCTCTTGGTGTGTGGACTCAAAGGTGCTGCTGATGAAGTCGGGTGGACATTGAAGATACCCACCATCCATTCCGTTAAGCAGGAGTACGGCTTGTCGGACTGTGGTGAGAGTGGGATAATGCAGGTGTTTAGTAGACATGAATGCAACTACATCTGCGAGGGGATGCAGCTACCAAACCTGGCTCAAAGAATGACGGTTGGTGAACTGAGTCCAAGACTTGAACATAACCGAAGTTCACCGATTCCCATGTTCCAGAGACAGCCAAGTGCACCTTTTGACCCGGAAGTGTTCTGTGACCCTTTGTCTCCCATGATGCAAGGCTATCTGCCTTCACCCCCTCCCTACTTCCAGCAACCGTTTGCTAACATGGGACAAACATTGTTTTATTTGAGCGATCCGGGAACGTTCGGCAGCTGTGATGATGAAACGTTTTTCAAGAAATGAACATTCCAACAAGACGAACGTTACGAACGCTTGAATTGTACATGGAGGATAAGTAGAGGTTATAATTACCAGCGCTTAAGAACCATAAGGTTCCACATAGATCCAGCTTCTGTGCAAAATGCTTCGTTGTCTTATTCACAGGACAACACCATGTTGTTATAATCAACATAGTACCACGCAAAATAAGTCATGTGTTGAAAATGGACCGGTTCTGCACCTGGATCTCTTAACACCTTAACATATCACGTACATGCAAGAAGCTTTTGAAGCATTGAATGACTAACCTATGTTCTGCTTTTTTGATCGCACACTAGATCTTTGTTTGTTGCAAAAAAGATATGAAACATGTATCGCCATATAAAACATTTGAATACAAGATGTGACTTTAATGTATTCTGTTATGCGCCAAGCAACGCTCTGTTTGTTTCCAATGGCAATTGCTTCACTCCCAGCATCTGTCGATGCTATCTCTTATAGTTATAACCCAACTTCGTGCATAATTAGGTAGACAATGACCCGTCTGTGTACAGCATACGTTCCTTGAGTAGAGGTCAGATATACATCACGCCATTACGCTGTAACTATCACTGTAAGGGTAGCTATGAATAATTAATTCTGTTTCGACAATTACAAGCAATGAAAATAGAGGAGACAACTTATACACGGTTGGTATTGTGTTATAACATTCTCCTTAAATGCACTAACTGCCTACGTTGAGATAAATAAATGTCCATTTGTTACCCATTAAAATATTATGTACAGAAATACGCTGAATAATAATTATTACTTAAGGGAGTTCATAAAAAGTGCGCTGTTTTTTCGCCGAACCTTGCGCCTCGTCACGTTGAGCGAAAGTAGTCAAGCTAATGATGCCCTGTGAAAGGCAAAGGCTTTTTAATTTATGAAGTGAAAGGACTTCCATCGTTAATAGTAATCCCTTGCTGTGATCAGCATATATAGTCAGGAGCATACTGTTGGGACAAGGACGTGTCTGATTCGTAAAATTCGTTTCAATTTAGGCTATGAGGATATTCAATTGTTGTCACTTTGTGCGAGTGCTTGATTTTAAGGGTTACATTGCTCAGGTCAGTAGGCAGGTCTGGCACGTTTGAGTCAACACTTTGTTGGTTTGCTAATTCAAAATTTATTGAGCACAAATTTTAACAAATAAACCAGTTAATGCTTATCATAATTACACCAGGGTGATGCAGTACTAGCAGTTGGGATTTAAGTTATTCAACTTTGTTGGAGCAAACTCACAGAGACAGACACAGACACATACAGACAGAAACATTTACAGGCAAACAGGCAGAGACAGAAAGACAGGGGCCCAGAAAGGAACACGCAGACAGGACGACACAGCCACTGGGAAACAGACACAGCCACGGACAAACAGACACACATACATAACATGTACCAATCTAGCTGTTACGGATTGCAGATTCCGGGTTCGAATCTTTTCCTAGCAACGTATACTGGTCGTAAGAGGCTATCAGGGTCGGTGACTTGCTGAAGGTGAGGTGAGGTGAGGTGAGGTGGGTTGAGGTGAGTTGAGTTGAGGTGAGTTGAGGTGAGGTGAGGTGAGGTGAAATGGGGTTTAACGTTACCTTAACATTATTGTACTGGATTGCGTGTCATCGTACCACGACACCGTGGATCGTTGGTCATACTATCAATCACTAGTTTGCATAGATACACAGAGGCAGATACAGATAGACAGACAGACAAAAACACACATACAGACAGAGAGGCCGTGAGAAAGACAGACACAGATACATACAGACAAACCCACCCTTGAGACCCAGACAGACACACATACAAATCCAGAGACAGACAGAGACACACAGACACAAACAGACCCAGGGCCAGACAGATACACAACGACACACAGACGTAGAGAGACAGACAGACAGACACAGACATACACGCAGGCAGACACGACACTCAGCCAAACAGACAGGCATACAGACACAGGCACAGACAGACACGGATAAACATACATACACGAACGGACAGACACACAGTCTGACATACAGACACAGGCAGACAAGGACAGACAGACACAGACGGACATACACAGCAACATACACACATTACATGTACCAAGGATATTGGAGGCTACCTGATGATTCCGTGACTTTGTTGATTGCATATCATCGTACAACCGACAGTGCGTATCGTTGCTCATGATATCAGTCACTGGTTGTCTGGCCCAGATCTGATTATTTACAGACCACCGTCATATTACTGTTATATTACTGAGTGCGGCGTTACAATGTCTCAGTTTCATGAAAGTCATGAGTAACAACGTTTTGACCGAGACCGGAAATTGTCACCTGGCTGTGGATCATTGTCTCCCTGAAATATGATATTGACAGAGTGATGCGCATGGTGCCCCTTTAATTCAGATTTTAGTAGTGCTCGATAACTGATAAAAGTTAACGACAACAGTTCATTGAAAACACAGACAGAATTCATCACAATGGATTCAACAAAGGAGGGTCTCTTCCGCACAAGCCAAACACTGAATCTGGGTTGAATATGAGAAGAATGTCAGACGAAATACTTCCTGCCATTTTCATAAACAAGTTGAGGACGAGTACGTCAGAAGTGGGCGTTTCACATTGCACAACATGTGTGTCCGTGTGTATGTGTGTGGTGTGTGTGGTGTGTGTGTGTGTCTGTGCGTATGTGTGTGTGCGTCTGTTTGTGTGTGCGTTAGTGTGTGTGCGTCTGTGTGTGTGTGCGTGCGTTCCTGTTAAACCCCATTTCACCGCACCTCACCTCACCTCTGTGCGTGGTGTGTGTGTGTACGTTCGCACGTCCATGTGTGTGTGCGTGTGTGTGTGGTGTATGTGTGTGTATGTGCGCGCATTCGTGTGTGTGTGGTGTGTTTGTGTTTGTGTGTGTGAGTGATCATTAGGTGTACCAGAAACCTATGTTCGTGGGTTCGAATCCCCAATTCGCCCTGATCATGTTTTTAGGTTTGTCAGCACCATACCCGCGTTTTTAAATTTCTCCACGGTAGTGAAAGTCGAAGATAGGCATCACGTTGGTTATAGATCCACTATTAATTTGACACGTCGTCATATGCGGGATATACTGTTCAAACTGGCGATACATCTAACTCACTCACTCACCATATACTCTTAGACTACTATTTACTATGGCTGCTGTGCTTTTAAGTCGTGTTTGTAAGACAACTGTAATATCACAGACCTCACGCTTATCTCACTCGACCATCATAGGGGAAACAATTCGAATAACAAGTGCGTGACTGTGAAAGGGCACTCGATGAACTAAGCCAGAGCAGTAAACCGACGGAAAGAGCTGTGAGAGGTCAGCAACCTCCTCTTGACCCAGCTTCGCGTATGATGGACATAACATGATTACATACTCGTGCGCACCTCTTCGTCCCATGCGTGATAATACATCATCATGTATATTTGTTTAATTTGTTGCTTAACGCCGCTCTCAGCAATATACCAGCTATGTGGCGCTGTCTGTAAATAATCGAGTCTTGACCAGATAATCCAGTAAAGACATCATGAGCATCGATCTACGCAAATGGGATACTTTTTCTGAGTATTTTCAAAATCTAAACCTGTAAAATATAAAACGAATGTGGTTCGTGTGCGTTTTATTGCGCTCGGCGTACTTTCAAACTACCCCACACTTTAGAGGCATATATATAGCGCAAACACTCTGAAATAAACGTTCATCTGAAGGACAACATCGTAATTTCTACAGGTTAGTGTGCTATATTTTCAGCAAATGCAAACGAAAAATCGCCAGGAAGCGACATTACAACTCAGCGACGTCACAGTTTAAAGAACGTTGCACGTCATTCTCTTGTGCCGTAAGCCATTCGCGACATGTCGTAAATTGGGAATGATTTCACTTACTGTTTCTGTGACGATAGTACTTTTCGTCTATGCTACTCAGCTGCATAGTTTCAACATTGGCGCCAGAATAACAAACTCCGGATTCCCGACAGTTCGAGTAGACACCCTTAAGAAACGACATTCACAACGCCCCCATCTAGCAGGTATAAGTATGTTCATATATCTTTCACAATAACATCTTACTGCAAACCTGCGAAGACAAAACCCAACATTGTAACGAGTTTGTAGCTTCATCAATATTATTTTAAGACTCTTCATGATATTGTACAAAATGTCTAATTAATGTCAAATTCAAATTCAAGCTTTAACATATGAAAAACATTATCTATCCAAAACCAAGCCGGTCGGTGGATGCCTGATAGGGATACGCGATGTAGGGAATGACAGCGCTTGTTTGGTGTGTTATAAGGTTAGGGACATATTACGAAATTTGGCGTAAAACATACATATAGATTACAATCTATCTCTATGACTTGAAATCTAATGTAATATTATATATCACTTGTGTATGGAAAAAAATGCTGAGACTGGCGGCCCACGTTAAGATTAAGCTGTACATACGTATTCTCACCGGTATCAATCACTCTTATCTCTTAGTATCTTGTTTGTACACGCCTACATTAGAGCGATCTATGATACCAATACCACATATTTTAAATAAATTAAATGATCTATATCCAAACTTTAAACATATGGTCGCATGAGTTGAAATTAAACAGTATAGAATCGCTTGTGTACCTCGTATCATTTCAGACAGAAAGTGAATATTCAAAGTTTCTTTTTTCAATGTGCTGGAGATCATGTTAATGTGTAGTATATAATACTTCTGGTTGCATAGGCGTATGTAGTTTGGATAGTGCTGTAGTTCGTGTCATTCCTATTGTTATAAGGAAGTGTATTTTATTGTTTATCAGTGATTGAAGACGTGTTGCATTGTTTCTGTTGGGATTCGGTAGACGCTCATTACATTGTGTTCAATGATCAGTCATCAGGAAGTTACTATATTTAGATGCTAGTGTGGTGTGTACATTTCTGTCCGGTGTACCGCGGAAGGTAATAGTATGTTATGGAAATGCCTTTAATGTTCTTGTGGTGAGGACACTGTGTTGAACTTTCCAGTGGCTGGGTAGATTGTATATAATGGGATAATAGCGAGTTTACGTATATCTGACGCTTTTAATCCCTTCGGAACCAACTTTCATATGAGGATCGCTCATCATCCCTGATTCCCTACCTAGCCCATCTCGGGAGCCTGACCACTCCCGTCGCTGGGTGAACATGTATTATTATCACTGACTTTTGCTTTCATCACTGTATTTTGGTATTTGATACTGATCACTGCTATCATATTATTTATTGCCATTGAATATTGTACTACCACTCTATTGTGTATTTCCATTGTAATTGCTGTGCATTAATTTGTATTGATTTGTAAACCTATTGAATTTTGTAATACATTTGTTGATTGTAT